TTTGAATCTGTTCTTTCAGCGCTATCAGTCGATTCAATATCGAATTCTTTGTAACCTCTAAGTAAAGAAAATACTATTTCGTTAATATATATTCCACTATACTTTGCATTTTTTCCTCCATAGCCAGGTGATCCTCCTTTTCCATCAATTCCTTTTCTATTATTTTTTTTAATAATAGTAGGTATTTCTAGTGAATTATTGAAATTTAAATATATAGTTCCATGCCTTCCTACATTGCCACCCACTCCTCCCCGTCCACCATTTCCACCTTCTTGTCCCGGGTCATATGCTTCATATGTTTCTTCCCATTTTTCATTAAAAGTGAACAAAAATTTAAAACCTTTTTCTATATTTTCTGTAACTGTTCCTGATACTTGTGTTCTTAAAACTAATGCAGATTTGTTTCTACTTTCTGCCATTTCTTTCACTTTAAAATCACCATCTCGTCCTTTGGTGCCATCACCACCATCTTGCCCTTTGCCACCATCACCACCACTAATATCAATAGTTAAGGATGAGAGATTGATAAAGTTTCTTCCTTCAGCATAGAAATGGCCTCCATTATAACCAGGTAACCCACGTAAACCATCCTTTCCATGCATTTCTATACTTGCTTTTTTTATATTATCATTATTAATTCTATCATTTACTTCTTTTCCATTAATAGCCTCATTGGTTATTTCTTCTATCTTAATATCTGTTACAGTTTTACTATCTGCTACTTCATTAATTTCGTTTCGTGTATCTTTTTCATCAATTATATCATACGTATCTTGTTTATTGCTTGTTTCATTGGTTCCATTTTTAGCTTTTCCTGGATTATGCGGAGGACCTGCTTTACCTTTTAAATTAATTGTTCTTTTACCAACAACGCGCAGTTGAGGAGATATGAATGTCAGAAAAGCTCCTGATGCTTCTATATCTTTATCAATAAATATCGTATTTAAACTGTACACATTTATTTCTTTATAATCTTTGTGAGATATTGTTTCAGCAATATCTTCAGTACCAATAATTGCGCCTTTGAAAGTTAATATATTTCCTTCGCAATTTATTGTAGGCTCAGACATTAATGACCTTATAGCATTAATAAGTTCATTTATTAAGTGATACCAGCTACTTGTATTCCCTTGGATAGAAATTGATTCGGTTTTTACAAGTTTAATTAAATTTAATTGAGAAATCTTTTTTTGAAGTTCGTCTTTAAGATCTTCTTTCCGTAAGAGTTCAATAATTGAGAGAACTTGTCTAAGTTTGTCTTCAAATTCTTGTGGATTCTTAGTATCGGATATAATTGCATTCACTTTAGTGACCAATTCATTTAAAGATTCTCTTAATTTTTTAAACGTATCATTATGATTATCTATAAGATTTTCAACGTAATTTCGAAGCGCAGAATAAAATTTCTTCGACATAAATACTTCTATATCATTATAGAGAACTTCTATTAGATCTTTGATAAAATGCACCGCTTCCGGCCTTAAGGAAAAACTAGGTTCAAGGTTTTCAATATAAGAAATTTTCTTTATACAATCTAAGATTTCATATTTGTCTTTGTCAGAAATTAAGCCTTCTTCACGGGGAGCGTTGAAAAAGGCAATTTGACTTCTATCAGAGGATAAAAAGCCGAGTATTTTTCTTTGGGATAAACTGAAACTTTCTAATCTACCTCGTTCTATAAGAATGCCGCGTAATCTATTTCTCACTTTTTTCAAATCAAGTTTTTCGCTTTGCGTTACCACCAAGCATAACCCTTTAACTAAATCATTGTTATTTTTAAAAATTTCTCCTAAATATTGAATAAGGTTTAAAAACTTCGTTTTGCTTCTTTCAATAATCGTATTTTCAGAAACTACAACTAAAACTTTCAATTTTTCGATATTTTTAGTTAACATATAAATCGAATAAGCATTTATAATATTTTGCTCATCGCCACGTGAATCTCCAAAACCAGGACAATCCCAATACTCTCCTTGATTTAATGGTAAGGAAGTTTGTGAAATAGAACCATTTTTGATTTCTATGTTATTTAAGGAATCACCAATATAAGTTTTGACGCCACTATAAATATCAAATTCATCATTATTAACATTTTTTTTACTAAACAAGGAATTTCCGACTAAATAGTTGAATAATGTAGTCTTTCCTTCTCTCGTTTCACCAATAATTATAATTGAATTCTCCTGTCGAGAAATTCTTGCGTCTATTTCATTAATATCTTGTAGAATTTGCGGTTCTATTTTTTCAATATTGAATTGATTTTTCGATGACATTTTTAGTGGTAACTGTGTTTGTGGTAACTGTGTATAAAGTTTATTCAACTCGCATTGACCAAAAATCTAAAGGGGAGATTATATATGTTGTAAGTGGGAACGGAATTTGAGTGGATTCGGAATTTATATATAACCTCCGTTTTGGGTTGATTATATCATATGTACCCCTAACCCTAACCCTAATTTAACTAGGAAATA